ATGATAAAATTATAAATATATTTATTTTTTACAGACGTGAAAACTTCATCCCAAACTGCAACTCAAGGGTGTGTGCAGTTGGCATTTCCCCAATGGAAAAGCTGCTGGGCCATCAAGATTTGCTTGGAATGAGGGGAAGACTTTCCAATTCCCAGAGAACCTCAGCCATCTTCCAAAACGCAAGAAACAAATGGTCCCTAGCAACGTTGAGGATGAGGGACCGGATGCTGACATGGTGACAACTGTAGAGACCCCATGTACCTCAAAAAGTCTTGTGGCACTTGAGGTGGAGAATGAAAAATTGAAAAACAATTGGAGAAACAGAAGCAATTTTTTTACTTCAGTCAAATTTCTAATAGTCCTGACAGAGTTCAATATTTTACTGGATTGCCTGATGTTGCCACTGTCCTGTTTTTGGAATCACTTCTTTCTAAATTTGAACTACAATATCATTCTGATTGGACTGTCCAAATTATGCCCTTAGTTGATCAATTGCTCCTGACTTTAATGAAGCTTAGACTAAATTGCGGCCACATAGACCTTGCAACAAGGTTTAATTGTAGCACAGCCACAGTAACCAACATCTTCACCACCATCATTAGTGCCCTGTATGAGATTTTGTATGTCGTTTTGCTTGATAACAACATCCCCTCCACAACCAAGAATCAAACATCGCTGCCAGACTGCTTCCAGCCCTTCCCTAACTGTAGGATCGTCCTCGACTGCACAGAGGTTGCCGTCTCTAACACGGAGAGGCTTGATGCACAGTGCCATTTGTACAGCCAGTACAAAGGACGAACCACACTTAAGGCTTTAATCGGTGTTGCGCCTAATGGATTTATTACCTTTGCCAGTGACCTGTACGGTAGGAGTGCCTCAGACAAGGCCATAACAGCTGACTGTGGACTTTTCCAACACTTACAACCCGAATTCCAGAAAAGTTGGGACGTTTTTTAAATTTGAATAAAATTAAAACTATACGACTTTCAAATCACATGAGCCAATATTTTATTCACAATAGAACATAGATAACATAACAAATGTTTAAACGGAGAAATTGTACACTTTTATCCACTAAATGAGCTCATTTCAAATTTGATGCCTGCTACATGTCTCAAAATAGTTGGGACGGGGACACGTTTACCATGGTGCAACATCTCCTCTTCTTTTCAAAACAGTATGAAGACGTCTGGGCATCGAGTTTATGAGTGTCTGGAGTTTTGGTGTTGGAATTTGGTCCCATTCTTGCCTTATATAGGTTTCCAGCTGCTGAAGTGTTCGTGGTCGCCTTTGACGCATTTTTCGTTTAATGATGCGCCAAATGTTCTCTATAGGTGAAAGATCTGGACTGCAGGCAAGGCCAATTCAGAACCCGGACTCTTCTACGACGAAGCCATGCTGTTGTAATATCTGCAGTATGTGGTTTTGCATTGTCCTGCTGAAATACACAAGGCCTTCCCTGAAATAGACGTTGTCTGGAGGGGAGCATATGTTGCTCTAAAACCTTTATATAGCTTTCAGCATTCATAGTGCCTCCCAAAACATGCAAGCTGCCCATACCGTATGCACTTATGCACCCCCATACCATCAGAGATGCTGGCTTTTGAACTGAACGCTGATAACACGATGGAAGGTCTCCCTCTTCTTTTGTCCGGAGGACACGGCGTCCGTGATTTCCAACAAAAATGTCAAATTTGGACTCGTTTGACCATAGAATACTTTTCCACTTTGAAATAGTCCATTTTAAATGAGCCTTGGCCCACAGGACACGACGGCGCTTCTGGACCATGTTCACATATGGCTTCCTTTTTGCATGATAGAGCTTTAGTTGGCATCTGGAGATGGCACGGCGGATTGTGTTTACCGACAGTGGTTTCTGGAAGTATTCCTGGGCCTATTTAGTAATATCATTCACACAATCATGCCGATGAGTGATGCAGTGTAGTCTGAGGGCCCGAAGACCACGGGCATCCAATAAAGGTCTTCGCCTTTGTCCCTTACGCACAGAGATTTCTCCAGTTTCTCTGAATCTTTTGATGATGTTGTGCACTGTAGATGATGAGATTTGCAAAGCCTTTGCAATTTGATGTTGAGGAACACTGTTTTTAAAGTGTTCCACAATCTTTTTACGCACTCTTTCACAGATTGGAGAGCCTCTGCCCATCTTTACTTCTGAGAGACTCTACCTCTCTAAGACATCCCTTTAATCATGTTACAGACCTGATATCAACTTAATTAGTTGCTATAGATGTTCTCCCACCTGAATCCTTTCTAAATTTCTTGCTTTTTCAACCATTTGTTGTCCCCGTCCCAACTATTTTGAGACCTGTAGCAGGCATCAAATTTGAAATGAGCTCATTTAGTGGACTAAAGTGTAAAATTTCTCCATTTAAACATTTGTTATATTATATATGTTCTATTGTGAATAAAATATTTGCTCATGTGATTTGAAAGTCGTATAGTTTTCATTTTATTCAAATTTAAAAAACGTCCCAACTTTTCTGGAATTCGGGTTGTACATCCTGACGATATGGTTATGGCAGACAAGGGCTTCACAATTCGGGACATTTTGCCAGAAGGAGTTTCCCTGAACATCCCGTCTTTCCTCGTCAATGGACAGTTCACTCAGGAGGAAGTGAACAATAACAGGTTAATCTCAAAAGCTAGGATACATGTGGGGCATTTTATTCAGCGACTGAAATTGTTTCACATTTTGGACCACATTCCATACCAGTTCAATCAAAATATAAACAAGATACTGAAAGTGTGTGTGTGTGTGTGTGTGTGTGTCTTACAAATTTACAAACGCCCATTCTTTGTGAAATTGGATAGGTTAACTGTATTGTATATAGATGAATTTCTGGGTTTAATTAATGTCTGTATATAAATAGCTGTATTTATGGTTTTATTTTAAAGGGTTAGTTCACCCAAAAATGAAAATTCTGTCAGTAATTACTCTCCTTCATGTTGTTCCAACCCTGTAAGACTTTCGTTCATCTTCGGAACACAAATTAAGATATGTGCTCCAGCTCTCAGATTTAATCACAAAATCTTAATTTGTGTTCTGAAGATGAACGAAAGTCTTACGGGGTTAAACAACATGAGGGAGAGTAATTACTGACAGAATTTTAATTCTTGGGTGAACTATCCTTTTATGGCTTCATTGTTACAGTGTAATTATACATGTAAGTTCTGAGTAATATTAACCAACTACATGTACTTACTGTTATTACTATGCAAGTACATGCCAGGTGCAGGTTTCCATGGATCTGATGCCAGTAGTTGTGAGTTTGTTTTAGCGTCAGAGAACCAACCACTTCATCGATTCATTAAAAAAGAAAAACTGAAATATCACATGGCCAACAACTTTTTTTTAAACATAGTTTGGAGCTAAATGTGACAAAATGTTGCTGTTATTTTCAGTCTGAGCCACTTTACAAACGGCGTCGTTTGTTTCAGATCGAGAGTCGGTTCGCAGATAGCACAAGGCTGTCTGATCTCCTATTTACATCTGGAAGACGTATTTTAAAGAGTGTTTGCTCATCTGCATGACGTCTATAGGAGGTTTCCTGCAGATGTCAAATAGATGTTTAGAAGATGTCTCTAAGATGTAATGATTTAGAATGCACGTTAAACTGACATCTCATAAACGTCTAGACATCTGCAGGAAACGTCCTATAGACGTCTTGCAGATGAGCAAACACTCTTTAAAATACGTCTTCCAGATGTAAATAGGAGATCAGACAGCCTTGTGCTATCTGGGTTTCGGTCCACTTGCCCCTCGCGTGGACGCACAGCTCTCGACTGGAAGTCCCGGTTGTTCAGGCTGGTGCAATCCGACAGAAAGGCAGTGTGTGAAATACACAAAATGTGTGAAACAATGCTGTGCTGAAGAACATCTCTGAACACACAATGAACATTGAAGTAAAGTACATTAGACAGCAGCAGAAAACTATTTATTTCCAGGTTCCTAAAAACAGGTTCCAGGCTGGGCGCCGTTTGTAAAGCGGCTCAGACTAAAAATAACAGCAAAATTTTGTCACATTTAGCTCCAAACTATGTTTAAAAAACTGGTATGAATTTTTGACGGTCACTTTTTAGCACATTTACATCTATATTTTTTCAACTTAGAGATATTTTAAATAGTTAAATCTAAATATTAAATGTTACACCTAAATGTTAAATGTTAAATCTAAATATTAAATTTAAATCTAAATGTTAAATGTAAATGTTAAATATAAATCTAAATGTTAAATCTAATTGTTAATTGTAAATATAAAAGTTAAATATAAATGCTAAGTCTAAATATAAATGTTCAATATAAATGTTAAATCTAAATATAAATGTTAAATTTAAATCTAAATGTTAAATCTAAATCTAAATGTTGAATCTAAATGTTTAGGTTGAGACTGCAAATTGAAAAATGCTGGTAACAGGAAGTGCCAAAATAAAAGTTCGAGGAGGTCAGTGTTTAGTACAGTGTCAAATAAAGAATAAAAAAAACCATCTCATCTGGAGAAATGGACTCTTGGGCATGGATTATCACGATGATAACTACCTAAAATAATAATTCGTTTGACATTTTAGCCGAGCAGAAAGCAGCTCTGCTGGCTTTTTTGCAAGCGAACGTGACAGATCAGTCAAAGTGAGCCCCCCCGTGGCTGGCGATTATGACTACAGGTCATAAGTCCCACACCTTTCATAAAAGTGACACTAAAACCTCAAAGTAGCCTACTCTTCAAATACAGTTTCTCCAAACGAGTTTATTATTTTAGGTAGTTATTATTGCGATAATCCATGTCCAAGATAGCAGATACAGTTATTTTTGCTATTTTTAAAGCAGAAAAATTACATATTGAGGCTTTAAGTGGATAGCAATAAGGTGAATATTGATGATGATACACAGTTTGAAAATATTCATTTGAATCCATAACGGGTGTGTCGACTGAACCAGGGGAGGCGTGGTTTGCAAAGAAATTCGATACTGTCAAAGAAGTTGAGTTTGGATTTAAAGAGATGTTGCACCATGTGTTGCACTCTGTCCCACACAATGGGAACCGAGTCTCCTCTGCACATTTATGATCGTTAAATTGTATTTATGAGCATGCTTACAGATGCTTTTGGATCTATGGATGAGCATTCGCAAAACTGTACTGTCAGAAGACAAGCAGTTCTCAGTAGGCTAGCCTGCTGAAATTTACAGCAAGTCTGCAGAAAATCTGAGTGATCGTTAATTCGCTGGATAGGCTAGTTGCTCAGGTAAGTTAATCAGTATTCAAATTGTTTTTCTCGAAAACACTTCGTTCAAACTCTAATTAATGATTGCTTTATTATTGTTATCTGGCAGTGTCAAATCTCTTAAAGACTATAAAAACATAATAGGCCTACTTAATTTATTTTATGCTATTTTATTTATTTAAAGTGCAAATTCTTATAACGCACGTTTTGCGTTATGTTTAATTGTTAGTGTAGGCGTAGATATATAAGACAGAAATCTATGGCGTTGCATTTTATGATAAAAAACAAAAACAACAACAACTATAAAATGATTTAAATTCCGTTGCTTTCCGTGACACTTTTTCATAGAGGTACTATTTGTGAACATTTCATTTTTGGTTGAACATTTTTAATGACTCAGATGAACCGGTTCAAATAACTGATCTGAATCAATCAACAACTCTCCGAAAAGTAGCCTATAAATGCTAAATATCAGAAATGTTAAAAATAAAACTTTGTGAAAATATGTTTAAGCCTATAACTTTTACTAAACATTCGAAACATCCAAAAAAAAAAAATTGCAGACAAGAGATAGATTTTTGTATTGTTTAACATGCAAGTAAAATATTCAGTTTTGATTTAAACTTGTATAAGCTGAATCGTGGTTGTAACAAACTCAATACTGTGGATACATACAAATACAACAGCCTTAAAATAAATCATAACTGAAATAAACATAAAAACAGCAGAACGGCAACATGTCAGGGACAATGTGACTGTGTAGTTATGTGGGCTAAAATAAGTTCTGAATTGATTCAGTTCTTTGAAATTAAGTTTGTTCATTGGACTTTCCTTTAATAGTTTTTAAACTTAAGAAAGTGTGCTCTTTGTACACTCTGTGAAACATTATTCAGCAGAATAATGTTGAATATGTAAACAAGAGCTGGGTTGAAGTTTCAGAATTTTCTTCACAAACCCTTGCCCATCTCTTTTTCTTTCGTGTACCTGTTTTATTTCTCAGCTTTATTTCCTGTAAGCTCTTCCTTTTTTCAACAGTTACCTGAGGACCCTCAGACGTCATCACCTCGTCATCATCAGAACTCATCCACCATGGGTCACTTAACCTCTGCATTACTGAGGGGGATTTCTCTCCTGCTGGTGACCCAATGTGTGTTTACTATGATGTTGTTTAATGCCACAGATCTTGGCATTCTCTTGGATAAGTACCTGGAAGATGATGATGGAGACTGGATGGTGGAGAGACAGCGAGGCAAGAGGGCCATCACTACCAGTGACATGCAGGCTATCCTGAACCTTCACAACAAACTTCGAGGGCAGGTTTACCCACCAGCTTCAAATATGGAATACATGGTAAAACGTCTCTTCTCTGCTACAAATGATCAAATATGGTGAATAACATGTATTGGGAAGTATTATCCACTCAAATTTTTCTTTAGTTTAGTGGTAAGTGTACACATAGACTTTGCAATCTATTTTGCATTAATTTGTTTTGCAGTCAGCTGTTACCTTTGTGGTTTTGGTATTGCATAGAAAACTATTCATGACAGTCTAATCCTGGCTTAATCTAAGCCCTGTCTGTGAAACCAGGCCTTAGAGTATCTGATTTTACTTGTACTGAATGTAGGCTGACTAGGCTATAATATGCACTAGTCCTCAACACCTAAGATACATGCCAGTGAAAATAAGAAACTGAACACCTCACAATTGCAATAAATCAAGGTCAATACAACACCCTCTTAAAGGGATAGTTCCCCCAAAAATGAAAATTCTGTCAGTATTTACTCACCCTCATGTTGCTCCAACCCTGTAAGACCTTCGTTCATCTTCGGAACACGAATGGGCTCTATGCACGGCGTTATTTCCGGTGAAGGATTAAGGATGCTCGATAACTTCCGCCGATCATAGAGTCCAATGCAATACCGAGAATTTATATTGAATTTTATACTCCATGGTTATACTAATGAAACGTTAGTCACAAAAACAGATAAAACAGACACCCCTCGTTGTGTTTATGCTTCTTTTTAAAATTATATTAAATAAACATAACTATATATAAAATTACATCTAAACGTATGTACGTTTCGTTTCAAAGACGGGAGGACAGTAAATATTGAAGACTCTGCCATAATCCCGTTTTCTCCGGTTTTCCTCCGCTTTAATCTACACAACCGGAAATGGACGAGCATCCTTACGTCAAATGCGGAACTTATGCGTGCATATAGCCCATTAAGATTTACATTTACATTTAGTCATTTATCCAAAGCGACTTACATCATCATGAAGAGGCAATAACAACACAAGAAGTGCTCAAAATACAAAGTTCAAACATTGCTCAGAGTAGCATAAACCAGACAAGTAAGGATTTATTTATAAAGTGCTCACGGAAGAGATGGTGTGATGCTGGAGGAAGTACTGAATCTCAGTACTTAAGTAAAGTACAAATAACCAGATAAATATTTACTTTAGTAAAAGTAGAAGTAACACAATGGCAACCATACTTAAGTAAAAAGTAAAAAGTACGTGATTTTAAATGTACTTTAAGTATTAAAAGTAAAAGTACTTGCATAACAATTTATTCTCTTAATGTCTATTTTCTAATGATTAATAAAACATTTAAATCTAACTCATTCAACCTAATACTCCTATAATGATGTTCAATAATTCTGGAAAAAAATTGTTGTCACCATTTCTGAAACAAGCTTGCAATTAGGCAATATGCACATCATGCTTTTCATTACTATATATTAATAACTATGTTTGGCAGTAAACGCGATTAATTTATGGTGTAATTCTGAACCTCTTGGCTTGCCATAATCCTAACCAAACGTATATTACACACAGTGCGTTTCCTATGCACGTAAAATCAAATTTACGGGAATAAATTGCACGATAAACACACTGCGTCCGAGACGCATTTAGTGTGACCGGGTTGATATATCTATGGCAATCAAACGTCACTGATCAGAAAATGTAATGAAAAAGTAATAGAAGTTGTAGAAATGTAGTGGAGTAGAAAGTATAATAATTGCTGCAAAATGTAACGAAGTAAAAGTAAAAAGTATGGACTATTTATTCTACTTAAGTGAAGTAAAGATACGTGAAAAATGTACTTAAGTAAAGTAACAAAGTATTTGTACTTCGTCACATTCCACCACTGTGAATGAGAATGTTCTGGAGAGTGATTTTGAGGCTCTCTGTGATGGTACCACGAGCCGTCTCTCATTGACTGAATGTAGGCTTCTGGTAGGGATGTATACTTACTTGTAGTAATGAGTGGAAGTAGAAGAAAGCTGATCCTATGGTCAATCTGTAAGCAAGTGTCAACGCCTTGAACTTGATGCAAGCAGCGAGTGGTAGCCAGTGCAGAGAGATGAACAGAGGAGTGATGTGGGCCCTTTTGGGCTCGTTGAAGACAAGACGAGCACCAGCATTCTGGATCATTTGTAGAGGTTTAGCTGCACATGATGGAAGCATTGCAGTAATCGAGCTTAGAAATAACCAGGGCCTGGACAAGAAGCTGTGTCGCCTGCTCAGTTAGGAAAGGCCTGATCTTCCTGATGTTGTGCATTGCAAACCTGCATGATCGAGCTGTCTTTGTAATATGGTCTGAGAAGGTCAGCTGGTCATCAAAGATTACTCCAAGATTTCTGACCGAACTTGATGGGGTGATTGAAGAAGAATCTAGCTGGATAGTGAAGTCGTGCTGTAGAGACGGATTGGCAGGGAGTCTTAGTCAGGTTGAGCTGCGGGTGATGTTCCTTCATCCATGCCGAGACGTCCGCCAGACAGCTTGAGAAAAGTGCTCACTAACACAGATTTAGACAGATTTGTGAACAATATTTCAGAGAAATATGCCTTTTATGTACATAGAAAAGGTTTTAGATCTTTGAGTTCGGCTCATGAAAAATGGGGGCAAAAACAAAAGTATTGCATTTATAATTTTGTTCAGTGTAGTTATCAGTATCCCAGAAACGTTCAATGTGTTGGACCTTCTTGATGTACGTGACCCCTGGCTGGATTTGGCTGGATTTCCTTGCATGCTAAACAGAACAGGACCATGAGACTGACCCAGCTTATAATTTTACTTTAGAAAATGAATAAGTAAATAAATAGGTGCTTGCAGCATGAGTAGTCTTGAGCAGTAAGAAACCATTTATACTGCAGCTTTTCAGAAAGACGGGTAGCGGTTTGAGAGATTGTTAACTGGGTGTCGGGAGTGGAGTTTGGGCAGCTCAGCAGAGGGAGAGTAATAGGAAAGGTGTGATGGATGTGGAGACATGGAATGTGATGATGCACTCCTCCAGCCCTCCACAGCCTCTTACAATAACCGATTCTGAATTCTAGGCAAAACAGCAGAATTTCAGACTGCAGCAGGGAAATCCAGCAATCAACAGACCCACATTTCAACAGGAACCCGGTCTTATTCCCACACACACATGCGCTGTACTGAGGCTACATTTACTCTACATTTCTCATTTAATACTTTAACTGAGGCTCTTTTGCCACTCAACAGAAAAAAATAGCTCATGAGGGACATTGGAAATTTTGCATTTTCTTGGAATGTGACCAGATGATAAAAAAACGTGCAGCTAATGAGGTGTCAAAAGATGTAAACAATGGTGTGTGAAAGAGTGCATGTCTGCCCTGACGGGACGTGTTTTCCTTTACTGGTCCTGCCTAAGTGTGGATTCTTTAGGGCCTCCCATACCGAGAACGCTGTATAAACAGAATAAGTTTAGCCTCTTTTTTTTCAGTTTACAGATTATTTTTGGGCAGCTTTTTCAGTTTTGGGCAGCTGAACAATCTATTTGTGGTGTTTGATTTTGTTGGTACACCATAACACCTTGAATCATTAATATACACATGCTAAATGGAATACTAAAAAAAATATCTCCATAGATATTAGACACCATTACACTAACATTGTAACTATAAAATAAATGGTAACACTTCCTTTTACAGTCCTTTTACCCATGTACATACTATGTACTTATTATAGTAATTATAATTACTGGGTAATAACTAAGTACTAACCCTGAACCTACCCCTAAACCATGTACTTGCCTTATATTAGCCAGTACTTTCTAGGTAAGTACACTGTAAGTACGACTAAATGCCTGTCTCTTCACAGGCGTTTAGTCGTCTCACTCTCATCGCAGGTGTTGGGGGATCTGAAGTCTCCATGGGAGGCTGGATACAAACTGGAGCTGTCAAACGCCATTTTTCTCGGGACTCACATCCAGAGATAACAATAGAAAGGCAAATGGAAAGTAATTAGCATAGCTGATGTTCATAATGATTTCCATTGCACAAGAGTAGATGTTAAAAAAACAAAACACAATTTCACAATTTCTCCGCAAACCCAACCATACGCGCCAACCCGTTTGACTAAGGCTAGTAAAGACTAGACATAAGACTATGCATCCTGATAAAGTTTTGGAAATTGACCTTAATGCCTTAATTAAAAAATGAGGAAAACTCCAACCTTTAAGGACACTCATTTTATTTGTGAATGAATAATGCATTGTAAAAAGTTCTCTTGGCTTTTTGGATTTAAAATATCCTCACATCATCACACACCCTTCACCATACCTAGAGATTGGCATGGGGTACTTTCCATAAGATCATCTCTCTATGCAAATCGTACCAGCTATTAGGCTAACTGAAACAAAACCATGACAATCTTTAGCTATGGTGAAGGGTATGTGAGGGTGTGGGGCTATTTTAAATTTACTTTGTAACTTTTTACAATGCATTATTCATTCACAAAGAAAACGAGTGTCCTTAAATGTTGTTTTCTTCAAAAAAAAAAAAAGGTTTTCTTCTTTTTTCTAATTAAGGCAATAAGATCAATTTCCAAAATGTGATATATTTTTTTGTTCCCCATTTGTAGTCAACTTTAGCATGGTTGTGTTTTGTGTATGTAATTTTTTTTAAGGTAACACTTTATTTTGATACCTCACTTTAGACATTCTTCTAACTATAAGTAACTGTGCAACTACATGTCAACTACCAGCCATTAGAGTACTAATGGACTGTCTGCTTAATATCTGGTAAAACTTTATTTAGATTCTTTTTACTTTAGTCTTTTCAAGTACTGCATTTTTTGTATACAAGGTGCTAGATTTTTTTATATCTTTGTTATCATGACAATGTAATGCCTAAAACTTAAATGAAAAGAACCATTTTTGAGCTTCTTGTATTAAATGCCGAATATACCTTTAAGTATAAAGGCCTACTGTGATGGGTGGCTTAGCGAACCAAGCTGACATCCTGTTGGCAGGTGCTCACTTCAAGGATTAATGTCTCAGGCAATTGTTTCAGCTATTTTGGGGACCTTTTTGGGACAGATTTTCCACTGGACTGTTCTTGGGACCTCCTAGGGGGAAAGTGTAACATGTATGGGCAGTGACAGGCCAGAAAACTCCCTGGTCACCCCCGCCTCAATTCTGGCTCCAACCTTGAGTTTTGTATGCTTTCCATTCAAGGTGAAAGTGCCATTTTGCTTTTCCATGTGGGTCAGATAGAAATGCTTAGATTTGTGAGTAGCCTTCAATGGTGTAATGTGCAACCAAATATAGGAACAGAGCAGGAAATACAGAAGACAAAGGCATATGGAGAACATTAATGTGGTCCAGTGATTCTCAAACTTTTCTGGTCATGCCTCCCCTTCCAATCCCTTGCAGTACCTGTGTGCTTTAACCCCTAGTCAGCCACACCCCACACTTCTGTATCCAAAATAATTATTGTGCCTTTTGAATCAGTGCACAAGAAAAACAAACCAAGAGGTAGACCAGAGAGAAACCTGGTTCTTTGTACAGCCTGCAAGCACTCATTGTATTGAAGGTCAACTGAATCTATAAAAACTATCATACTGAATGTCACATAGACTAAAACAGCCATTGACTTTAGTAGGATTACACATTTTTACACATGTTAACAACCTTATAACCAGGTCATAATTACAACTACCCATACAAAAAAAATTAGGGATTTGTTTCTGTAATGCGTTTCTGAATTTCAGCCCTGTATTTGTATTTCTTGTAGGTGTGGGACACTGAACTGGAGCGGAGCGCTGAGGAATGGGCCGAGACCTGCCTGTGGGAGCATGGCCCAGCTGGTCTGCTGCCTCAGATTGGTCAGAACCTGGGAGTCCACTGGGGAAGGTCTGATTGTGCTTTGTTTCTTTATTGGCATGTGAGCTTAATAGTCAACACATTGTGATATCTAAACTACTCTATTAAAAACCCTTTAAAAACAAAACAAAAATCTTTCGCAAACCTTTGATTGGTAGTGTAAATGTCAGTCTGACAATCTTCCAGTCTACGTGGGCTGTTCTATGCTAGAGTATATTGTGGACAACCAACCCATATGACGTTTTGTCTAAGACCAGGCTATGCATGCCTATGTTTGGGTGGTTTTATTCTGCATTAGACAAAGCATGAATTTCAGGTTATTATTAATTGTGCTTTTTTTATGTTCACCCCAGGTATCGTCCACCTACTTCTCATGTACAAGCCTGGTACGATGAGGTCAAAGACTACTCATTCCCATACCCCCAGGAATGTAGCCCTCACTGTCCTTTTAGGTGCAGTGGTCCAGTCTGTACCCACTACACTCAGGTTAGATATAATCACTGGAACATACCTCATAAGCATATCATGTGGGTAACTAGTTGCAAAATGAATTTGAAAACAGTTCTGAAATCGCCAGTGAAGGAATTTTAATACCAATGTGTCATCGCCTCGGCCACCTCCTAAGTCCCCTCCTTGTTTTCCCTTTTGTTCATTAAAACCTTTTTGAACTCACCTTTATCCTCATCATCGCCATTGCGTGACAGCCGTGCCCAAATGGCAAAAAAAAAGGGTTACTTCACCCAAAAATGAAAATTATGTCATTAATGACTCATCCTCATGTCGTCTCAAGCACATAAGACCTCCGTTTATCTTCTGAACAGTTTAAGATGTTTTAGATTTAGTCCGAGAGCTTTCTGTCCCTCCATTGAAAATCTATACATGGTATACTGTCTTTGTCCAGAAAGAAAATAAAGACATCATCAAAGTCTGCTGTGATGCTGATGACGTAAGACGCTGGTGACGTATTATCTGGTGCGTCCGTGTATTCAGGTTCAAATAAATATGGCTGGGCAAAAAAATCTATACATTGTATACATTTTCAATGGCTCTCGGACTAAATCTAAAATTTCTTAAACTGTGTTCTGAAGATGAACAGAGGTCTTAAGGGTTTGGAACGACGTGATGGTGAGTCATTAATGACATAATTTTAAAGTGTAATTTAAAGTATAAATTCACCAAAATGAAAAATCTGTAATTAACACATTTTTAAGAATCTTCACTCAACTCTTGTCCATACAATGACAATTAATAGCCACCATTATCCCAGTCTGTTAAACTCCAAATAGAAGAATGGACAGTAATATACTGTAGTAGGCAACCTACATTCAATGTTTTTCTCACACAAAGCTATCTTATGGTTTCGATATAATGATGGTATTTATAACGGGGGAAAATAATCAAATCATATGGATATTAAAGCTACAGACTGCTTGAGGTTATTATATAGACAAGAGTAACCCATGCAAATAGATTTGAATATAGAACAAATTCGTTGTGCTGATGATAATGCCTAAGGTCATTAAATGATTTCAACCAGATTACTCATAGTCAGATGTAATTGATTGACTGTTTTTCTTCCTTACTTATTCCAGCTTGTTTGGGCAACTAGTAGTCGAATTGGCTGTGCGATCAACGTGTGCTACAACATGAATGTGTGGGGCCAGATTTGGGCAAAAGCAGTTTATCTTGTGTGCAACTACTCACCAAAGTGAGTTACTTATTCGTTATTCTTCATACATTATTAAATACTGTACTCATTCTCTGTCATTTGTATTATGCTAGTTTGTCATTGTTGTCTCTCCTTCTTTGTGTTTTGTTCTGTGTAGAGGTAACTGGTGGGGATATGCCCCATATAAACATGGCGCCCCTTGCTCTGCCTGCCCACCTAGCTATGGAGGAGTTTGCAGAGAAAATCTCTGTTATAAAGGTTTGGAGCTTATATTACAGGAGCTTCCAACTTTGCCAATACATACACTACTGTTCAAAAGTTTAGGATCAGTAAAATGTGTTAGCATTTAAATTGCTGCAAAAAGGTTATTTTTCAAATGGTAGTGTATATACATTGTATTTTATTTTTCAAATGGTAGTGTATATACATTGTATTTTATCAATCATTTATTGATTGCTTGATGATTAGCATCAGTTTCTCAAATACACCATAAATTGATGCAGGCAAAATGGAAGACTCATTTCTTTGTTTCATTTTCAGGTGATGGAACAAATAGACAAAGCCCACGTGAGGAAACAGACGAAATAAATTCTATAGAACCCGAGGTCCCTCACAGTTCTGGACCCCATTTACGGCCCCCAAGTCCTACCAGACGGCCAAATACAGTTGTGAGCAAAGAGCAGATGTGTAAGCTGTGGTTCACTGATTATGCTTTTCAGAGTCACAGGGGAACCACTTACAGAAATATAAGTTGTGCTTGAAAAACAATTTCTGTTTCATCTAAAAAATACATTTGCTGGCTCTTAAACCTATTTTTGTTTAACTTGTTTTGATGTTCACCAGGCATGAATCTGTCAATGAATTTTTTTTTTTTTTCAAACGTATATTTAATGTTGGAAGTGCAGCGGAGAGGTTTTTTTTTTTTTTTTTTTTTTTTTTTTTTTGTTCTCATAATCGTGATTCCCCTGCTGAGCATGTTTGCTTTGGGGACGATGAATACTTGTGGGTTTTAAATTGCTTCCTTTGCTGAAAGGGGGTTTGGACTGAAAGCTGAGATCTCCTGCTGTTGGCCACCATGAACTCCTGCTGGAATTCCACAGCTTGCTTTTACAAAACTGCAGGAACAGAGCTGTACATTTCTGCAGTGCTGCTAAACTATACAGCATGTCTAAACACAAATGAACCACCTGCATTTCTTTTCTCCTTTGTGCAGCACAGATTGTGACATGTGACACAAAGCCAAGAGACCAGTGTAAAGGCACCACATGTAATAGGTGAGATAAAATAATTAATTTAAACATATATATACAGTACCTTTTAAAAGTCATTTTGGCCATTTGGTACTACTAATAATAGATCCTGACTACACACAATCTATGTACCATAATTCTAAAGATCTGTATGCAATTTTATCTTTAATTTCTCCAAAGGTACGAGTGTCCTGCTGGTTGTTTAGACAGTATGGCAAAGGTGATTGGAACAGTGTATTATGACATGGTAAGTGTGGCATAAAGATTTATTTATTTTTTTTCCAGTTTATCATGTCTTGTGTAGTTCATGCCAACAACAACTTCGCCCTCAGCAATCAAGTATTTGCCGGGCAGGCATCCATTATGGTGTCATTGACAATGATGGAGGCTGGATGGATGTCACAAGACAGGGCAGGAAAGACTTCTTCATCAAATCATACAAAAATGGACTTCAGTCCTTTGGGTAAGCAATCTGTTCAAGATTGAATTACATGCGCATTAGAAACAACTCCATCTAACATAATGAAAATGTTACAGGAAGTACCAGAGTGCCAATGCCTTCTCAGTATCCAAAATGACAAGTAAGTTTTAAATTAGTTTTTCACACTCTGCAATACTTCATTTTGATTGGTCAGCTGCAGCATTCAGAGGTCACTTATTTAATATAATGGCTTCGGACTTAAAATGTTTTTTCAGCATTATTACTTCACTATCACATGATCCTTCTGAAATCATTTTCATATGCTGATTTGGTGCTTAAGAAAAAAAATCATATTATTGTCAATTTTGTAAACGGTTGTGCTGCTTAATATGATCGTGGATGTATATTCTTTTGAACAAAGTTTAAAATAACAGCACTTATTTGAAATAGAAATCTTGGTTATTTTATAAATGTCTTTACTGTCACTTTCGATCAATGCATCCTTTGTAAATACGGTAAGCCCAAACTTTTAAACAGTGGTGTAAATATTTGCTAAGTAGCTGAGTAGAAGCACAACAATGACCAGCCAGTCAGTTATTATCGCAAAATAAACCCTGACATACTATGAGTAATCAGGACCACAGTGTGAAACGGGGGGGTCTTGTATTACCCTGCAAGGGTTTCATAAAGTACCTTTACTATTAATTTCACAATCTTTCCTCTGTTGCAGTAAAAGTTATCACATGTGAGACTACAGTTTCTGTGCTGTGCCCTTACCACAAGCCTGCAAGACACTGTCCTAGGTACAAATCTGTAATGAACCAAATCTCCAGCTGAAATGCTATTTTATCTTAACAGTTTTGAAATAAAACCTGCCAATAGCATTTGAAACTTCATTTGAAAAAATAAAACTTTCCAACCTGTGTTGTCTTCCCACAAGGATTTACTGTCCTCGCAACTGCCAGCAAGGAACTCCCCTTTCTCGAGTCATAGGCACCAGAATTTATTCAGATGTAAGCTTTTTCATTTTTCAAAATCAAATTTAAAGGGATAGTTCACCCAAAAATGAAAATTCTATCATTATTTACTCACCCTCAAGTTGTTCCAAACTTGTATGAATTTATTTCTTCTGCTGAACAGAAAAAAAGATATTTTGACAAACATGGGTAACCAGTCAGCATTGACTTCCATAGTATGGAAAAAATATATATTATGGAGGGTCAAAGGGGCCTATCAACTGCTTGGTTACCAACAGTCTTTAAAATATCTTCTTTTGTGTTCAGCAGAAGAAAGAAATTCATACAGATTTGGAACAACATGAGAGTGAGTAAATGATGACAGAATTTTCATTTTGGGGTGAATTATCCCTTTAAAGCACAAAGATTGCCGTCCCACTAAAGACCATGCGTTTGTTTTGCAGAAATCTAGTATATGCAGGTCTGCAATTCATGCCGGCGTGTTAAGCAACGGGTCAGGTGGTTACATTGACGTGATGCCCACAGACAACAGGAAGCTGTACATTTCCTCATACCAGAATGGCATAGTCTCAGAAAGGTAGGTTTTATCCCCAAACTGGCCCATGTGCACTTGGTGTAAGGCAGAGTATGGGGCAGCCTGTCTCTCCTTAAGCTTTTAAAATCACAGGCCTTTTTTGAGAAAGCTGATTAGGGTAGAGCTGTACCAGTGGTTCCACTCCAAGCATGATGTAGTAAACTTTGTTAGTCACTTTGAAGGTATGCTTGCTAATGGTTGACAAAATCATGGATGAATGGACATGTTACAATTATGCTACTTCACAATGGCTTGTAATGACAAAATGAACATATCTATCCCATCAAATCAACACCAAGGATTTTTATCACAAACATCTTCTTACACTAAATAAGCTTTTCACCAAAAGTGGTCATTAAGAACACAATTATGTTTAAGAGTTGGGAAGCATTGCTTATTTAACCTCTGTGTTCTCTCACAGCCTGCCGAACTCCGCGGGTGGCAAAGCATTCAGAGTATTCGCAGTTGTTTGAAATCGCGGCCACTATCAACTTGTTCTGTTGATTAGGCTGTAATTGTGGCCATTGTGAGACCTTTTCTGCTCTAACCAGCCTATACTATATTTCCTTTCACACAAATGTTGCCTGAACTAAGAATTTGCTGTATAGACTGAGACCCTCTCCAATTCATCAAGCTGATTAGCCATTGTATTGCCTAAAAAGCATGTAATTAGAGGATCGTCAGGGAATATGGTGTCTGTATTGTAGAGAAAAAGCACTTAAGTTAAGTTTTAAGCTTCCATTATTTTCATAAAGAACATTTCAGAGACTATTATAGCATATCTACAATATATTTTAGATGTTAAGTTGACATATTAAGTTGTCTTGTTATGTTGTCATGTTATTTTTTTCACTGTATATATATATATATATATATATATATATATATATATATGGGCAAGAAAGGACTGCTGATAAAGTTTTAGGGTTTTTTTTCTGATTATTTGGATGAAAATAAAGAATGTGGATATAATCCTGCAGGGCAGGAGTTAACGTATAAAAAACATCCAACAAAATGTTATATGAAACGTCTACATTATTAAACACTGTAAATAGCTTGTTTTGAATAGCTTGTCTTAATTGTAATGAGGTTCTGTATTCATGTGCTGTGTACTGTATCATAAAGCAACTTTATTATCATTTAATGTTTTTTATAGGTTACTTAAAAAATCGAGTGTTTATATGATGTCCAAATTAATTTGGGGTGCCATTTTGTATGCAGTTTTTTTGGGGAACATTTGTATTTCCTTGAAGTCGACATGAAACGGAAGTTGTGATAGTCGTTTCTTCCCTATTTTGATGTACTGTATATCTGAGTGAAACTGCTTCTCGAACAAGAAAAAAAAATGTAGGGCAGGACTTGAGTTTGTCAATCGGGAACTAATTGGATCGTGTTATTGCTGTAATGTGAGTGAGAGATTTGCCATCCTTACGCCAGTAAAATGGATTTTCATGGAGGCTTTAATGCAGTGGTTCTCAACTGGTGGGTCACAACCCAAAAAATAGTCACAGATCGGTTCCAATGGGAAAAAATCTAACCATATAATTGGGTGAACGCGATTTAACCAAGTACAACATGTTCTGGCATCAACATTTCAATCAACCAATCAAATTTGAGAAACCAGTTGCTAACCATTGTCTTAAAGTGGGGATACATTAGTGAAATGTAATGGTCAAAATGTCCTTTGTCTTACGTGTAGCAATTTATGAAGCACCGCTCAAAGTCACTTTCCGTGTGGAAAGAGAGAAATCTCCAAAACTGTCCAGTGGCGATTGGCACTTTACATTGTCCTCCCCTTACAATGTCTTATCATAATGGCCTTGTATAATGAATGCATATGGTTGTACAAATTATTTTTTTTCTACCTCACATTGTTTAAGAAACATATTATAATAAACTTAATCAGTCTCTTGTATGCCTTTTTAACTGTTTTCAGCTCACAATGGGAATTTTTGTTGTTGTAGAAACACTAGACTAGTACAATGCATGGAATAGAGAAATGATTGAGGCCATCTGTCTGTAACGAAAACCAGATGGAATAATTTTCAGTGTTTACTGCTCTCTCGCCCTCAAACTAACAGCTGAAACAAATCCCTTATGGATTATAGAATCATTTTATTGAGGAACACACTTCCACATTACTTTCATTCATTCAGGTGGATAGATGCAGCAGATCTAATTTGGTAGAAGAATTAAATGTCTTCTCAGTAAGAAGGATGGTATATTTGGGTAAATGACTACTAAACCGGGTGCTACTACTGAATATTAAACACCTCCAGACACCTCAAGTTTTCTTTTAAATAACTTGTTTATTAGTTAGAAGTCCACTTTGTTAGTGCTACCTGATTATTTTCAGACGTGCCGCAGTCGCAGCCTGCTGAGCCGTAGAAAGCCAGTATTTATAGCTAATGTCCAAAACATCATTCTCTATCCAGGTCATGTTCCACCTGAATGCCTGCAGTCCAGAAACACAACTCAAGTGTAATTACCAGCCACCACACTGACATCATAACAAAACAGAGTAATGCAGGGTGACTACCACACTAACATATGTTTATAATATAAAGTGCCACTAACGTATAATGACATGATTCCAACACCTTGATAAATAACTTTGCCTGTTTATTGGAGCTAGGTGCCTTTGGATGGAAATCACTCAAAAAAGCAATAACACTGGACATGGAAATATTAGTGTTACCACTGCTTTCTTACATCGTAATCGACAAAATGTACACACACAAAAAAAAAAAAATACACACACCCACTTTATTAAAGGAAAATGAAATACATAAATGTATGCTCAATTTGTCTTTTTCTGCTAAGTGAGAACAGACAAAGAACAACCCTGTGAGCATGTCAGAATTATTACGGCCATTGGACCACATGGAGCTATAGTTGAATGACAAAGGTTTTATTCTAATGTATTATTGAATATTCATACTGTATAATTTTGCTTGTAAAGTTAGTGTGAACAATGCCATATTTATTTACAATCAAATGTTGCTTAGAAGGATTGTGAACAATCAAATGACTACTCTACTTATTTAGTGCCATTTCTTTAAATAGGTCTTTATGCATTTGTATTTGTGGGGTTTATTCCATGTCTATAGCTTTAAAGCCTCAATATGTAATGTAGTAAAATGGGCCAAAATTATTGATGACTTATCCCGTACTTTTTGTCCAAAAATGTCTCTAGAATAAGATTGCCCCGCTCCACATATCATTTGCAATCAAATCGAGCACAGCGTCAGTCCAGACCATAGGGTTCAGACCAGGAGTCGCACAAGCCCTCAAAAGTGAAGTCAAAACATCTCGATTGCCCCCCAGTGACCGGTCCTATACAGCCCATTCTCACCCCCAAGGCGTCACCTAACTGACGCTTTCCTTTAGCGTCAGTTAGATGACGCCGTAGGATCGCGTCATGTAAGTGACCCTAAAGGGCGCCTAAAACGTCAAATATTGAAGCATGGTCAAAGGTGACGCCTTGGGATGAGAATGCTTTGCATTATAGGTCATAAACCCTGCCTTCCCATGTTATTCAACGGGACGTGACACCAACAAAACAATTAAATTACACTTCACGTCTTTTTTCCAAAGTTTCTGTCATTTAATGTAGTTTCTATCATGTTGATGTAATTTCAAGTGTTTGTTTTTAGTAAGATATTTGATGCTATAAAAACGGTGCTCTGACAATAATGATTGACAGCTGTGATTGACAGGTTCTCTGTGCGAAGTAGTCACTGAAGCACCAATGGAATTTGTTTCATAATGTTCACTATGTGGTTAGTAATTGTATTTACCTTACTTTAACGAGGTACTCCAATCAGCAGACATCATTGAAGAGGAACGGAGCAGACAGAGGCCACTTTAAGTCCCCTTCAATTCAAAATTGACCATACTTACTTTGTTTGCCTGAATTGATCATTCTGTGGTGAATAATTCATCCAAGTCAATCCACACACAAAAACATTTTTGGCTTTGGAATCTTTAATCTAAATCTGAAAATTCCCTCCCCTCTGCATTGGAGGACCTTGATTTGACGGTTTGGGTGTCTGCTTAAAGTCGGCATGAAATCAAATTTGACAAATCTTCTTTTTATATGTAATATTGTAGTGTTTATTATGAATGATTTATCTGTGCTCTTCATTATTATAATTTTTTTTAATTCATGTAGCCTTATAATCTTTAATCAAATGCATTACCCTTCCCTACCCCCTCGAAACGACCTCTCTTCTCTTTCGGTCACGTGCCATGGCGAAAGGGTGCGGCCAGACCACTACCGTTCTCCATATTAAACCAGAAGGATATACGCAGCTGGGAAATATGCTTAAACTGCTCGCCCCCCACCACCCTGACGACTATAAGCATCAAACAATTTTCTGTGCACATTTTTGTCCGTCGTCTTCTTTGTTTCAGATTATCAAGGCTTCCAAGTCCTAGAGTCACGTACATCATCATGAGAGACACCACCCTTCCTCATAGCAAGCTACAGCATGGACGTCCCAGACTTCACTGATACATGTTAAACCACGGCTTAAAGGCATTATTAACTGTCTTAATCATCTGTATATTGCTCAAGCTGATGGTTCCATAGGGGGGTTAATGCTAAAAGCTACAAATGTCATTAATTATGGAGCAAGAACCCCCATTAGGAACCGCACCACCAAAGATAAATTGTGTTCAATGAACTCAAGTAAACTTCCCAAAGTGGTCTCGTCTGAACTAGTAATTAGGTCCATAACTGTGATGTAGGCTCACTAAAGCCTATTAAGTGCAACAGACACGTAAAAATACATTTTCTCCATAGACAAATTATTTTAATAATAACTTATAAACCATTAAAGACAGACCTGTGAGTTGTGAGGTTGTTAATTAATGGTATCTAAACATATTTTTTTCCAACCCGATCTCACGACCAAGTCGTACGAATTCGACGAATGATTAAAAAGTGGCTAATTCGTAACAATTCATACGACCTCACTCGTACGAATTAATACGATTTTGCTAAATCGTACATATTTTACGAATTGGCCAATTCGTATGAATTCGTGCGAATGACCTACCCCTTACCCCGCCCCTAAACCTAACCATCACGTGGGTTTAGACAAATCGTACGAATTAGTACGAGTGAGGTCGTACAAATTAGTACGAATTAGCCACTTTTTAATCATGCGTCGAATTCGTACGAATTGGTCGTGAGATAGTGTTGATTTTTTCAATAATTGGGTTTAACAGCAGAATTTCTTGTGAGAAACGTTGCCCGTGATTTCTCAACCCAGATAGCACAAGGCTGTCTGATCTCCTATTTACATCTGGAAGACGTATTTTAAAGAGTGTTTTCTCATCTGCAAGACGTCTAATAGACGTTTATAAGATGTCAGTTTAACGTGCATTCTAAATCATTACATCTTAGAGACATCTTCTAAATGTCTATTTGACATCTGCAGGAAACGTCCTATAGACGTCTTGCAGATGAGCAAACACTCTTTAAAATACGTCTTCCAGATGTAAATAGGAGATCAGACAGCCTTGTGCTATCTGGGAAAGAAATCAAGCAAAATGCGCCAAAAGAACTCCCCACAATATAGCGTCTGCTTCCTACTTAACTACTTAAATATTTTGTATATTTATGCACAGATTTACATATTTTGCCATAAACGTAAAATTATCGTTCTATACACAATCAATATCTTTGAATAAACAGTTTAATATTTATCTGTCGTTAATTTGATTTTGTTATTCATTGTTTCATGTGCAGTTCTTTCCCTCATTATTGTTGTTAAAGGGATACTCCACCATCATTCATATTAAACTATGTTATTCTCTTTAAGACGACTTGATAGATACTTCTGCCCTCTCAGTGCGTGAACTCAATCGCTCTGGCACGCGAGACACTTTGATCGCACTTCCCTGGCCCAGTTCATTCAATAGGGTTATAAAAGTGGCGGAATACCACAGCAAGTGCTTGAGAGCACTTCGACTCGGCGCAGTAATATCATGACTCGTGAAAAGTCCTCTCCCCCCCCTCACTGATATATCCCCTCCCTTGAGTGATGATACTGTGCCGAGTCCATTAATATATATGCGCCGAGTCGAAGTGCTCCCAAGCACTTGCTGTGGTATTCCGCCATACATAATAGTTACACTTTACACGCTTAGAAAAGCGCAATGTTTTATTTTGTGTCACCATCCTAGGTTGAGTTACACTACTCGTGTAACTGTGTTTAAATAGGGGAAAACATGGAGGTGTTTGGTCGCTTCTCTGCTTGGCCCATATTGAATGAACTGGGTTAGTTAAGTGCGATCAAAGTGTCTCGCGCGATTGAGCGCACCCACTTAGACGAGAGAGATATGTATCAACTCATCTTAGTTATATGAAAAAAACGGTGGAGTACCCCTTTAAGTATACACAGTCTTGTATCTTTGTCTTTTTGTCTGTTTTTTAAATACTTTTTTTTGCTTTAAATCAAAGTTTGTAAAGTTTTAGCTGGTTGGTTTGGTTCATGGATTATAAAGCTAATCTCTGCTTTTGAAATGTTTCTAGTGTTTTTAAACTACACTGTAAAAACATAGGCTACAACTTTTTATCTTTGGTCAAATCATCTTAAATAATTAATCTTATTCACAGATAACATAATATTTTGAGTTTCTACTTATTGAACCAATCTCTCAAATTTTTAATTTCAATGAACTCAAAGATTTAAGGCAACCCGGTAACTTGCTTTTTTTAAGTTAAACCAACAATATATACTGTATGTATATATATATATATATATATATTTAAGGAAAAAGGATTTCTTCATTTATTTACACCAAATAAAAGGCTCTTATAAGCCCAAACAGAAGATTGTGCGATTAATTTGACTAAATAGAGCATAACGGACTGCCTTTGGACAGCAAGGCATGAGGTTCATG